TTTCCATGCTCGGCTGCCAACTTATAATAACAGAGCAACAGGCAGCAGCAGGGCAGGAGCATCAGAGCCCACTCCGTCCGTGGGTGCAAGCTTTGTACACTGAAACAAAGCTTGGAAGGTCTTGTTGCAGGCTTTTCAACCTTCACGGTGGCTATGCCCAGACCACTAGGAGCCTGGAATTAAATACCCTGAGATCCACTTGTCTACCATTAATGTTATCAGCTTCATCAAGTGCTTCCTCTTTCGGTAGTGTCTGCAGAGAAATAAATAAATAAAGCTCCTCCACGTCTTGTTCCTGCCCAGGATCCTGAGTCTGAAGTCCAGGCTGAGTGGAATTATCTGGAGCACTGTCTCCCTCCTTCATTGTTCTCCAGGATCTGGGCAGGAACAGAGAGTGAAATCTCTCCAGGACATTACATCAGTTCCCCTTTTCCCCTTGGCATGAAAGTGCTTCCACTCACAGCCCTCCCTGACTTCCTAAGGCTTGCCCCCATGGTACACCCACACCCCAGCCTTGAAGCCCGGACATCAAAGAGAACCTGCAGGTAACCAGATTATTGGCCAACGCCTGTGTCTGTTTTGTAATTTAGAAGATGAGAAATGGACTCCGGAAATGGGGTAGTTTTTCCTAGTACATGGTCTCCATGATCCTTGAGTCTTGTTAAACCTTAATAATCTCTTAAGTAAAGAGAGACGTCTTTTCAGCAAAAAGAGATATTTAAATTTGTCTTTATGGAGGGCAGAGTTTAGGTCCTTATTAGCTATAAAAAGAATATTTGCCTTGTCACCAAAAGGTCACTTCTGTCATAAGATTATTAAATCTTAGACGTTAAGACTTAATTAAACATAAGATAACACCATTGAGTCAGTACCCTGAAGTAAAATGAGGCGAATGTCGTGTGCCATTCCAACCTAGAGCTGGCAAGATTTGTCAGGACTTCGTAGTAGCTCATGCCTATAATCCTAGCACTTGGGAGGCTGAGGCAAGGGGATTGCTTTGAGTTTGAACTGCTACAGTGTGAGACCCTGTCTCTTAAGAAAGAGTCAGGCGATGGTGACACACACATTTAATCCCAGCACTCTGGAGGCAGAAGCAGGTGGATATCTGTGGTTCAAGGCCAGCCTGGACTACAGAGGGAGTTTCAGGATAGCTAGGGCTGCACAAAGAAACCCTGTCTCCAAAAAAGGAAGGAAGGGAGGGAGGGAAAGAAAAACACTTTTTATAATAGAAACTATCAAGCCCCACAAGTACTGTCAAGCATTAGTCACCACCAGACTGTTTCCCCCATACCTCACCTGGCTCTTCTTCACCTCCCAGCATCATCCCATCCATAATTAGTTCTGGATAGGCCTAGAAGGATAAAGGCCATTTATAAAACCAGAAGCCCAGAGCCAGGACTTCAGCTCAACCCCAGTAGGTCCTCTGCACATCCTTTCCATGATCACCAGCTGGAAATGCTGTATACAGTGTGAAGCGAAGTCTAAGAAAGGGCCTCAAGTTGCAAGTGGTTGGTGGATCTCCCCAAGCCCTCTATAAAGCAGGTAGTCACAATGCAGCAACCACATAATGCCTGTTGGCTGCCTTTGACTGGCCTTTATAAGAGGCTTGGATCCCAAGTTTAGATTTGGGTTGTTTTTTTGTTTGGTTGTTTTTTGTTTTTCTGGATTTTGGAGTGGTTTGCTTACGGTGAGACAGGTTGGTGACAGGACCCAAGTCTAAACATGAAAGCTATTTGTATTTCATACATACACTACACATGTAGTCTGAAGGAAATTTGATAGAATATTTTTCAACTGTTTTGTTGATGAAACAAATTTCGATGATGTGGCATTTTCCACGCGGGGGGGGGCGGGGTGCAGGCATTTTCCGCGGGGGGGGGGGGGGGTGGTGCAGGCATTTTCCACGGGGGGGGGGGGGGGTGTGCAGGCATTTTGTAGACACACTCAGCAAGTTTCAGATTCTGGAGGGGTTTAGATGAAGAATTCTTGTGCTTATTCTGATAATAAGCCACCCCGTACTACCCCCCCCCCCACACCACTGATTTTTACTAGCAGTCCTCCTGCCTCGGCCTCCCAAGTGCTAAGATTACATACACCTCCACACCCAGGACAAACTGTCTCTTTTCTTATGACTTTCAGTTGTTTTGCTGTCAAATGCCTGGGTGTGATTTCCGTTGTGTGGAACCAGCGTGGGTTTGCTGAGCTTCTGGAACTTTCGAGTTTGTTGTTGACATTGTGGCTCTCGTCACTTAAATTTGGCCATTATTCTTTCCCCTCTCTCTCCCATCCATTTTCTTCTACACTCTAGGCGTATTTGGTGTTTGATTTTAATACGTTTCTAATCCTTTCAATCTCCAGTATGCTATTAAGTCTGTCCAATCTACTCTTACATTTCATAGAGTGTACATTTTGGTTCTAGAACCTTCATTTTTGTTTACTAAGTTTCTACTTTCTCTTTTGACAGTTCCTGTTTGTCATTACTCATTGTGACTGTGATGTCCCTGAAATACTTATAGCTACCTTAAATTCCTTTAAAATCTCTTTAGCTAATCCCATCAGAGTCGCAGAATCTGTTTCTGTTGGTGACTTTTTGATAATAGATCACATCTTCTATGTCTAGAAAAACTGTATTGATATTGAACTTAACAGATAACTCATTGTAGAGACTGGGTTTCGTTATATTCCTTTGAAGAGAATTGACTCTTATTCTTTCAGCCAGTTAATTTGTTAGCCAGTCCCTTCTAGTGTGTGGAGGCTAATTTACATTTCATTGTGGCAAATCGGCCTCAGTTTTGCCTTTAGCCCTCAGCAAGATCCCTTTGCACGGTAACACGGGATTTACCACACTAACACGTGGCCATGCTAGGGTAGTGGGCAGCCTGGGGTGTTGACAGGGCCTTTTAACTTAATGAGACTCAAACTCTGACCTGCTTCTCCACTCCAGTGGCCAGGAGCTGCGACTTCTTATAACTTTCAGCCATGCAACCACTGCTTTTGAATCTCCCCTGTGTGTGTATTGTTCAGGTGTCAGACAAGAATTTGAGAGAACGTTAGCGTGGTGTTTATTAGATCATCTCTCTGGTACCCTACCCTTGATGAGGATTCCACAAGTTTCTGCCATTTGGGCATCCACTTGTGTCCTGACAGGTCATGTGACTTTCTGTTCATCGTCAGACTTCTTCATGCTGCACTGATGAAGGTATTCTTGGGGGAAAACTAAATAATGTCTTGCTCTGTGAAGGTCCCATCTTTTAAGAATAAAGTCCCTCGTGTTTTTGTCTACGTGGGGTCACTGTCCAGTGTTTTTACATGGCTTTTTTGAGTGTATTATATCCAGTTTCTATGAAGTCTATCTGTAGGAGGTTCCTATAAAGTCTATCTGTAGAAGGTTTCTATAAAGTCTGTCTGTAGGAGGTTTCTATAAAGTCTGTCTGAGTGAACCACTGCCATTATTGCAACTGGAACTCCTCTTTCTCTCGCCAGATGAATGGCGGCAGTTTTGAATCCTTTACTGGCCCTTTCCTATCTGGCCATATCGCCTGCATGCTGGCCCTCAGCAAAATTTTGAGATAGCTCTCATTCCTTTTCCCAGTTGATTAGTACTCTATTATTTAGTAATCTAGATTATTAAACAAGTATCCTATGATATTTGTCCCAATGAAGAAGAGTTTTTTGAATTTATGACAACAGATCATACAATAGTCATGAAACAGATACTTTCCCTTCCTGTGAGTCTCAAATGCCATGTTCAGCGTTTCTTTTGTTCACCACCTCATGTGATCAGGGAGGTGTAGTGGAATTTTTAAAAATTTTTTTAAAAAAAAAAACCTCCATTTTCATGCTAACCCAGTATAAACCTTAAGGGAACCCCACCTCTCTCTCTGACTACTGACCCTGGTAGAGGCTCATTTCCCCTTTTCAGGTTCTACATATAGACAAGGGTATTATCTTTGGCATTGTTTTGACACTTAGAACTACAGGTAAGTCTGTGACCAGAATAGGGATCAGCTAAAGTGCTCATTCTTCTGCTGAGACTACCCCAGGAACACACATGGCTAGAGTACCCCATAAAGATAGATGTGAGCTCACATGTTTTTATGGGACTGGACTTTCTAAGGGAACCCAGATCACCTCTGAGCTGGTCCAGCCTCAGCTCAGCCCACAGCTACTTCAGTTCTGGATCTGTATACAGTACATGCCCTCAGCAGCATGTAAATTCAAGTTCAGTGGAGAGCATGTGTTGTTGGGGTACCCATGCATCTGTCCTTCCTACTTGCCTCTCCTAACTCTGAGCCTGTGTGAGATCCATGCACTCAAGGGCAAGCTTCTAAAAGCTCTCTCAAGTATAAAATCACCGTTCTATGAAAACAACAACTGTTGCTGTTGAAAGCAGGTTTCTGTTTGATTTTGCACCCTGGGGGTCTGTGTGACACAAAGTGCTGTATATGTGCAGGTTTTAGAATCTGATTCTAATCCTTTATCCATTGGCCACATGGGGTGAGTTGCCTGTGACTCAGTTTTATCATCTGTGAAGCAAGAATAATAGTGTATCTCCTTAAGAGTGTTCCAAGTTTTAAATAATTAAACCCAGTACCTAGAATAGAGTCATCACTAATCGTCATTGTTACCAGCGGTAATGACCCCTGGAGATAGAGAAAATGAAGATGAAAGCTCACCCGAGCTTCTGGAGAGAATCCTAAGAACCCTCCACCTCTGGAAGCTGCAGAGGGGAGTCCAGCAAGGACAAGATAAAGAAGGGAATTGGGTTCCTTGTGTTTATCAGGCACCGACATATGCTGGGTGGAATGTCGATGGGCATTCCTAGCTTGTCTGGGGTAGGAAAGCGATTTCAAGTATGTTTTGTTTTGAGAAAAGGGACCGACATGGGAATCTGGGTTAGAGAGGCTCCGTGCCCCAGTACAGCTGCCTACAGAGCAATTGTGAGGTCACAGGGCTGCAGGTTTACCGGGATCTGTGAGTGTCTTTCCTTTTGCCCACAGATAACTGTGTGCAGAGGACGCCCAGGCCACCTGCAGAGAGTGTGCACCACAACCCTCCCACCATTGAACTCTTACATCGTCCTCGGTCACCCATCACCACAAACCACAGGCCTTCTCCTGACCCCGAGCAGCGGCCCCTGCGGTCCCCTCTGGACAACATGATCCGCCGCCTCTCGCCAGCTGAGAGGGCCCAGGGACCAAGGCTTCAGCAGGAAAACAACCACCAGGAATCCTACCCCCTGTCAGTGTCTCCTATGGAGAATAATCACTGCCCACCATCCTCGGAGTCCAACCCGAAGCCCTCCAGCCCCTGGCAGGAGAGCACGCGAGTGATCCAGCTGATGCCCAGCCCCATCATGCACCCTTTGATCCTGAACCCCCGGCACTCAGTGGATTTCAAACAGTCCCGGCTCTCTGAAGATGGGCTGCATAGGGAAGGGAAGCCCATGAACCTGTCTCACCGGGAGGACCTGGCTTACATGAACCACATCATGGTCTCCGTGTCCCCACCTGAAGAGCACGCCATGCCCATTGGGAGAATAGCAGGTGAGTGAGCCCAGCCCTCTCGCAGCCCGTCACCACGCAGCAGAAGCCATGCAGCTAGACCCGCACACTCCCAGTGTAATGTGCCTGCAAAGGTTTGGGGAGGGCGAGGGAAGCTTCTGTCTACATGAGACGGAGTCCCTAATGGCCTGGTTAATGAGCCACTGGGAAGGGAGGAGTTAATGAGCCTCAGAAATGTTAAGGAAGGAATGTCCTCCATCCAGCTCACAAGGAGAGTCACCTCAGAAGCAAGGCCAAGCGAAAACATTTAAAATCAAAGGTTTATGAGTACTCTAATGGCCCCATCCTGAAGTCTCCAGGTGCTAATTAATGACCAGACACAGCGCAAAGAACCTTTGTCTCAGATTCACGCCTGTAATTCTGTCCTGTGGGCAGCGACTTGGTGGAGGCGAAATTGAGATTGGGGTGTTAGACAGGTGTTGCCAGTCATTTAGACAGAGAAAACCCACTCCCAGATTCTTTTTGGGTTATGTTGGAAAACCCAAATGGCTCTCCTAACAAGAAACCAAGGAGGATGGATAAGACTCTATCAATTAGAATTTTGCTAGCCTGCCCGCGGTTTACGTGGAATTTCCAGAAGGCCTGTGCAAGTTTGGCAAGGTGAAGTCTTTTCCTAGAGGATGTCTCTCCCTTCATGAGACATTATGGGGTACCTATGATGTACAGATAAACGCATCCAATGTACCATATACAGCACTGATTTAGCACACAGCATCCTCCCTAGTAGAATTGAGAATTTAGTGGAGAAGCACATGTAAATACCATGAAGATACAGGACAGAACGATGGAAGTTTTACTTCTTATCCATGCAGTGTACAGGCGTTCATTGGGTGCCTTCTGTCCGGCAGAGTAATGAAGTGGTGAGGAAGAGCAGAATCTCTGTTCGGACTGGAGGAGCCAGGAGGCTTCACAGGGATGGAGGGACTGAAACAAGTGGCTGTGTTTCCCTTAGTGGAAAGAGACCTGGAGTTAGGACAGAGACCTGTTCAGGTGGTAGGAATAAATGGCCCTTCTCCCCCGTTGATACTGCCGCTGCCTACCCATGTGGGACAGTTCCCAACGAAAGGCCTGCTTCACCTCCGCCTTGACTTTTGTCTCTTGTTGTTGTGGTTGTTGTTGTTGTTGTTATTGTTCAAATCATTTATTTCTAGATCTTTTTTCCTGGCCCCGAGTACACCTCTACTGTTGCCTCAGTTTTATTGCTAAAGATGTTGAATTAAGAAAGTAAAATGGAGAGTCTGGGGAGAGAGCTCAGGCAGGAGAGTGCTCTGTAGTCTGCTGACCCCAGGTGTTGTGACATGCGCTTGTAATTCCGGTGCTAGTGAAGCAGAGATGTGCATTTCATTTCCTTGGGACTTGCTGACCAACAAGCCTAGCCTACTTGGCCAGTTCCAGACCAGTGAGAGAATGACCCTGTCTCAAAAGACAAGGTAGACAGCACCTGAGGAACAACACCCGAGATTGTTCTTTGGCCTCCACATATACACAGATGCTCAAGCATGTGTGCGCACTCACACAGAGAAAGAGAGAGGAGAGAGAGAGAGAGAGAGAGAGAGAGAGAGAGAGAGAGAGAGAGAGAGAGAGAGAGAAAAGGAAGTGTGGCTCAGTGGTAGAATGCTTGTCCAGCATGCAGAAAGCCCCAAGGTTTGATCGTCAGAGCCACAGCCACAACAGTAAAACAGCAACTATCTATGACTTGCTCATTTTTTAAAAAAAAAACTCTGAAACTTGGAGTGTGCTTGGAATTGAATTCAAAATAGTCCTGCAGGGTTAGTGATGGGGAGGTGTCGGGTGTGCGGTAAAATGGGGTTAGCCATGAGGTGTTTGGTGGTTATGTGGGTGAGTGGAGGCAGAGGGGTTCGTATCATTGTTCTACTTATATGTGAGATTTGCTTTAATAATGAAGAAACTGCAGGGCCAGCGGTAAGGGGGCAAAAAAAGGAAAAAAATCTTACGGAACCGTGAATTTTCTCAGACAGCTGGAGGAAAGGGATGAGGCGAGAAGTGCTGAGTGATGGAAACAGCCTTAGCTGCACACTGCCTTGGCGTTTCCCTGCCTGGTGTCCTCAGAGCCCGTTGCTTATGTATAATTCCCAGGACGGCCTCTCGAGCTTGAATCCCTTTGATGTACGTGGGTCATTTGTACAGGGGAACCACAAAGATGATCCAGCTCCGAGACCAAGGTTTTCCTCAAGGTCAGAAGAGGGTTGGGTGACCTTGCTGTCCCTTGGCTGTTGTCTGCAGTACTGTCCTTGTGGGCCTGGCTGCCTTGTCAAGGTCTTCCATATCTGCCTTCATCTCGCCACAGACTTCTTGAGAATCTTAAGATAGGCATAGAAGTCCAGAAGGACAACGTCCATGAGAGAGGAAGGGAGGGATGAAGGAATTGTTTAGACATACAGACTGTCTTCCCCTTGTAAGTTGCACATCTGTTTCGTTGAATTCTACCACTACTTTTAGAAGCATATACTCAGACATCAGTGATGTGACGGACATAGGCTCATCAATTAAGATGCAACTGGAAACAGCCATATTAAGCGATTTTAGTCTCACAAAGGCAAAGTATCACATTTATCTCTTATTTGTGGGTCTTTGATTTCATGTAGATGCTGAAACTCATATAGGTACAGGTATGAACATATAAGAAACTATATAGGATAACAAAGGAAATAAGCAAGGCGCTGGGGACGGGGGGGGCTGGGGAGTGGGCAGGGGGAGGTCGCGGGTATGGTGGGCTGTGCTCAAGTACATTATATACTTGCATGAAAGTGGCCTTATGCTACCTGGTATAATACGAATACAGGAAGCCTCGTGGAATATTCAGTCAAGTGATGAACCTTGGTATCCATAGATGCCTTGCCTTGAAAACATTTAGAAAGAGCTGGTCTCTGCTTTTCCTTGGCTCTAGGAAGACAGAATGTTCTAGAAGATAATCTTAGGGCTAGATCTTCTGGGGGCAATGCATTCTCTCCTATAGGATGACTGAGTCTCATACAAACATATGTTCATGTTCTTATGATCTTAGTAAATGTTGTAAAATCTCTAAGTATATACGTTACCTACTGTACCCAGATTCCAGATGACCCATCTTAAGTGGCAGGCATTGCTCTTTGCAGGGGTGAAATGCCAGGGTCAGGTTGGGAGGTCACTGAGGTCCCTCCCGGCTCTGTAAGTCCACAATCTGACAGTGTCTGCAGCTGTCTGCAGAGATGACTGACAACCCCACACTCCTTTGCCCCTTTGGAGGATCCCCCTCCGTGTGTCCCCCAACCCTCTGTCTTCCTGGGCTCCTAAGATCTTAGTAAAAGTGATTCTGTTTCTTGAAGGTCACATTCTGTGAGTCACGGCTGTGTGTACTGTAAGGTTCTGTCTGCTGCGCAGCCATAGACGCTGTTAGATCTCTCCAAAGCTGCTGTTAGAGGAGAAGACTTGGTTCCTTGAAGCCCTTTAATTGAGCACAGCACAGGAAGAAAGGAAAGTGCTGCCAGATGTCACACTGATGAGTAACTTAGCTGCAGGGTGTAGACAGAAACACTACTTAGCAATGTGGAGCAAACACAACCTCAGATTCTTACCATTCAGACGGGATTGGCTGGGTAGAGGAGGATTCAGGCATTCAGACACCTAAGAGCGCTCTGGACCGCAGTCTTGCAGACTTAAGTTTTTTATATAACATTGGACTTCTTTCCTTCCATATTTTCCACTGTCTGTCTATCTTCCTTCCATATTTCCCACTATCTGTCTTCAGGAAGGGTTTGGGGAGGGTAGTGGGAAGCATCTGCTAATCTCCTCCAACTTTTTCCCACATGTAGAAGAAGGCTTATGGTCAGCTTCCCATCAGTGAGTTTCAGAGGCATCGAGTGCACTGGCCATGATACCGAGCTATACGCTGATGAACTGACATGGCGTGGTGCTGGGGGATAAGTTCCCAGGATGTACAGTAGCCCCCACCCTTTAGCTACAGCTTCAGTTATAGTACATGGAAATTAACTATTTTAAATAACTCACTATGAAGTGTCATTACAATGTAATATTTTATTACTGATTACTTTGTCAGTCTCCTATATGTAATTTATAAATCATACACCATCATAAGCATGCATAGATAGGAAAAAGAACACTGTATGTTGAGTATGTATTGACTCAGTCAGAGCCATGGTTTCAGGTATCCACTTCAGGCCTTGGAACATGTCCTCTGTGGATAAGCATCATGCTGTTTGCATTGGAGTCCCTTCTTAGGACTGGATGAGTTCACTAGAAGTGACTTTCTAGGGAAAAGACTGTAAAGACTGAGATCAGTAATACAGCCTCAAGTCAGGGTCCCTAACCTACCCCAAATACTGTTTCCTTCTACCCAGAGATTCCCCAACAAGGATTGGAAGCTAACACCTGATTCTGTAAATGAGTTTATTGGGGAAAGCTACCCTTTTTTTAAATGGTTGGCTATGTATGCTTTCAAGCCATAACCCAAGCATGAATACAGTTGAGTTGCTCCAGAGAGCCTATGACCGCAAAGTCTTAAATGTTTACTAATTGGCCTATACATAAAAAGTGGGGTGCCCCATGTCCCCCATCACTGTTCCCATGAACAGTCAGTGTTCTGAGAACCTCAGACATAACGTAGGCTGAGGAAGCACAGTCTTGCTGGCAAGGAAATACTTGAGCACTTTAGGTGATGAGGCATGTCGGAGGCACGTGAGAAGAACAATAACAAATGATGTAAGAGAGTAGACAAGTTCGGACTGCAGGCTGTGCTCGGAGAACAATACAGAACAATTGCAATAGCACCATTAACATAAAATCAAATACAGCTCAGTAACAGATTCTTGGCATATTTGAATTTGTAGTCACACATTTGGTCATTTATTCAAAAATTATCCTGTATTTTCTATGTACGAGACATTATTCTAGATGAAAGACATAGGGCTGCCTTGAACTCCTGATTCTCCTGCCTCAACCTCCTGAGAGCTGGGATTACCCAT